GGAGCTTGACCCTTTTGAACTTTTTTTTAGCTTCTTGAGGAAACTTGAACCTTTTTAGCTTCTCCAAGAAGCTTGACCCTTTTTTAGCTTCTCTAAGAAGCTTGAACCTTTTGACCCTTTTAGCTTCTCCAAGAAGCTTGACCCTTTTTTTTAGCTTCTCCAAGAAGCTTGATCCTTTTTTTAGCTTCTTGAAGAAGCTTGAACCTCTTGACCCCTTTGCCTAGCTTCTCTAAGAAGCTTGGCCCTTTTGCTCCAAGCTTCTAAGAGAAGCTTGGCCTTTTTGCTCAAAGCTTCTAAGAGAAGCTTTGCCCCCTTGGTTTCTCTATAAAAAGGGGGCCTCTCCTCCCCTTTAGAGGGTTATAAAAATCTGATATATAGGATAGATATATCACTCCCTCTCTATATCTCCCTCTCTCTCTACATTTGTGTGGGTTAGAGAGTTCAAAAGGGTCTAGCTCTTGCACATTTGCACTACAACTCTTGGCCTAACCCTTCCATCATCAACCTAAGGAGCTTGGAGGCCATTTTCAGAGGTTAAGAGACTGTTTTTTGGACCAAGAGGCTGCTGTCCCCTTTAGGCTACAAAGGTAACCCCTTTCCCTCTTTATTTCCCATTTTTGCACACACTTTTAGCCTATCTTTCTTGCTGTTTTGAGCTTCGTGTATAACATAAAAAAGTTCTATTTTTTTGTGTTTAAGATACTTCATTAAGGTCACTTTTGTATTTGGGGTCATTTACCCCCTCTTAGGCCTTGTTTGACCCTATTTTGTGCTATTTTTGGTGAGTTTCGGGACCACCTTGTTTGGGCCTCCTCACCACTGAAATCTTGAGGGATTTCAGTGGTGAGGATGGTGGTTTAAGATCCTAAGAAGGAGAGGGCCATCCCTTCTCCTTGTTGTCTTCAAAAAGTGCCATTTTAGCCTCATGTGTGAGCACTATTTTTAAGTTCATGTTGGCCATGTCTTAAGTGTTGTTTGTGCTTATTTTTCCATGATATAGCATTGTTTTTACTTGGTTTAGACACACCATTCTTGCTATGCATACTTGTCTTGTAATGACATGAATTGTCTTAACATGTGCTTAGCATTTAGACCACTACGCTTACTTGTTTTGGCTTAACTTTGTGAAGCTTTTGTGCATGTTTTAGTGTGATTGAGGTCTGTTTTTGGTCATTTGAGTCATCCATGCCTTGCTTTGTATAGCTACCATGTAACCCCCCTTGGCTCGCCTTGAGTTTAGACCATTGTTGCATGCTTAACTTGTCTTGTTTACTTGGTTTTGCACCTTCTATAATATGATTTCAGAGCTTTCTATGCATGCCATGTATCCATGTTTATCCTCTCTTAAGTGTGCTTAAAAGTTGCTCTTTGGTGCCTAAGTGTTGGACCTTGTGTGCATGCATGCTTGTATGTGTTTTGGCCCTCATTTTTAGAGAGAATATCCCCCATGTGCCTTGAACATGGGCTCCATCCTACATCATGAGGTGCCTATAAATAGCACTCACCCATAGTTTTACAAGGGATGGATTTTGGAGAATGAACTCTTGAGAAAGAACTAATTTCCCTTCTCCATTATCAACCTTGAGAGTGAAAGTGGGAGATTCACAGGTTGCTTACCCGATGTTAGGTTGTTTGAAAACTGCTGCGTGCATAGTGAAACCCTAGCTCCTGACAAAAATAGGACAGGGAAACCCTACCACAATTAGCATGCATCTCTTGCCTCTTGAATTGATTATGATGGAGGTTGGGGCCCATTGTTTGTTTTGTGCATTTCATTCCATATTGAAATTGCACACTTTGACTCTTTGGGCCATCACGCATTGAAATACGCAATTGGTGGTCCGAGAATCGAGCACCATACCCCTTTGAGTCACAAACATGATAAGGGATGTGGTGGTGCATACATTTACTTGAAAATGCATTGCCATGCCTTGTCTGCCCTCTGCTGCTGTCAAACAAGTTTCTGCAGGAAGTTTTGGCCGGCCGGCCTTATATACTGCCGACCGACCAAATATATTTGGCCGAGAGCTCAATGGATGGTCGATGACCACTTCAAAATGGCCGGTGATGATCCCACATGGTCAGTGATGCTCCCCAATATCCATAGAGCGCTCCTTGGGAGTTGTGCAATCTTCAGAAGAGCAGAGAAGGGTAAACAGAGGCAGTTTGTGGATGGCGATGGATTTCCGAGCAAACCCGAGCACGCGTGCATTGGACCCTCTTCCCGAGGCCTTTTACCGCATACTTAGCTTAGTTAATTTGCTTAATTAATTAGGTGGACTGTAATATTTAATTAGCTTGCAGGTTAATTAATTTGTATTATTCTTTTGGTCCCTCCGAGCGAGGGCGAATTTGTAATAAGTGTGGGTGCGTGTGTGCATGTCTTCCAACTCCCACTTCTTTCTCCCTTTTACTTATCAGCTTTTGATGGTTAGTATTAGGTCATATTTAATTTAGCATACCTTATGCTATGCATGCGTGCATCCATACATTTGTCTTGCATGCACCGGGCTCGGCGCATCATACTAACTGCATTGTATTTCAATTCCAAGTTGAATACGTGTTAATTGTAGCATCGTCATATGCCATCCATAGATTAGCCGAGCCTATTGTAGCTGCATCTTGCATGTGTTGCATTAGCCATCTTAACATGAACTAGGATCATGCATATGATTACTAACTAGTTTCTATTTTGGCTTGGAGTACTCGGTGAGCATATATGTTTTAGCATCCTTGCATGCGTGTGAGTGTTGCCATGACAACATGCTTACCATGAGGCTACTTGCTTATGTGATATAACTGCTTGAATGCCTGTGGGTGGAGGTTGAATTACCTAAATTGGAATAATGCATTAAAACTGTGAGTTTCAAGCCCACTAGATAGTGGCAAAATCATCTTTTCTAAAGCCCACTTGAGGGTGGCGAAATCTACATTTTTAGCCTACTTGCGAGTAGCAAACCATTTTCAAAACAAGCATGAAATGTTTTGTTCCAATTTAGGCGATTTGGTCTATACTTGTTTGCTGTGTGCATAACATAGTAATTCTAGGCTAATAACCAGAATAAGAACACATAACGTTTTCAAAAACGGATATCACGGTTAGTAGAGGCCGATCTTCAGATCGGGCGAGAGGGGGTGCTCATAGCTGACCTTCCCCAATCGTACCCAAGTTCCTGAGCCGAGGCAACTTTGGTGATGACGGACACGTGGCCTTTGGCACCGAGTCAGGGTTTCCTAACTTTTCCAAAATAAAATATTTAGGTGGCGACTTTATATCTAGCAAAGCAATCCATGTTTGGCACTTCTTTTCAAAAATCTGTTTCTCAAAACGATTTGCCGGATTTGGACTCTTTGGTTCAGATTAAAAACCGTGACAATTTGAGAGTCCTGAACTGTAGTGAACCCACAAATGAACAGAACGGGACTCGTCCTCCCGGGGCGTTCGGGGACGTCTATAGCTAACAATGCAGACATTTGGAGACATGGCTTGCTATGTCTCTTTTCATTCCTGTCCACCAGTAGTGTTCTTTCAGATCCTGTTACATCTTTGTGTTACCAGGGTGAACTGCAAATCTCGAGCTATGTGCTTCCACCAATATTTTCTTCTTGATTTTCGGAATGTTGGGTACACAAATTCGATTTCAAAATTTCAGTATCCCATTACTTATAGTGAAATCAGGATCAGGCGTACTCATTTTATCTTCACATTGGTGCGCTTTAATTTCTTCAATCAATGTAGGTTTCACAGTTATGTTGGCGAGTAGTCCATTGATCTTGTGAGAAACGAGAGTATATGCCAAACTTCTGGTCGTCTTTCCGCTCAATGCGTCTGCCACCACATTAGCTTTGCCTGGATGGTGATTGATCTTTACATCATAGTCCTTCATAAATTCTAGCCACCGTCGTTGCCTCATATTCAGTTCCTTCTGTGTGAACAGATATTTAAGACTCTTGTGATCAGTGTAAATTTCGTAGGTTGCACCGTAGAGATAATGATGCCAGATCTTGAGGGCAAAAATCGCCGCAACCAATTCGAGATCATGAGTTGGGTAGTTCTTCTCATGAGTCTTTAGTTGTTACGAGGCATAAGCAATGACTTTTCCATTTTTCATAAGAACGCAACCCAAACCATTGTATAAGGCATCACTATAAATTGCAAACCCATCTGCTCTTGTGGGGAGTGCTAGTATAAGAGCTGACACCGGTCTACTTTTTAACTACTGGAAGCAACACTCCTGTTTGTCAACCCATTCAAAGGGTGTGATCTTCTGAGTTAGTTGGGTCAAGGGTGATGTTATCTTCGAGAAATCTTGCATGAAACATCGATAATAGCTAGCGAGACCCAAGAAACTTCGAATTTCTAACACATTAGTAGGTCGCAGCCAATCTACGATTGCTGCAATTTTTTACGGATCAACCGAGATGCCATCTTTGTTAATGACGTGACTGAGGAAGTGTACACTAGTGATCCGCAATTTGCATTTCTTCAGCTTGGCATAAAGTTTGTGATCACGAAATGTTTGTAGAACCGTTCGCAAGTGCTACTCATGGTCTTCCGGTGACTTGGAGTATATGAGAATGTCATCAATGAAGACGATGATGAACTCATCAAGATAGGGTTTGAACACTCAGTTCATAAGGTCCATGAAGGCCGCTAGTGCATTTGTGACGCCAAATGGCATGATGAGAAACTCGCAGTGCTCGTAACGGGTTCTAAAGGCAGTCTTTTCGATACTTTCCATTTTGACTTTTAGTTGATGATAGCTAGAACGCAAGTCGATTTTGGAGAATACCTGAGCACCTTGAAGTTGATCGAATGAGTCATCGATTCGTGGCAGACAGTACAGATTCTTGATGGTGACTTTGTTTAACTCCCAGTAATCAATGTATAATCTCATTATGTCATCCTTTTTCTTTATGAATAGTACTAGAGCTCCCTAAGATGAGGTACTAAGTCGAATGAAGCCATTGTCTAGTAGTTCCTGGAGTTAAGTCTTCAGCTATTTCAATTCTATCATTGACATGTGGTAATGAGATTTTGATACTAGATGGGTACCAGGTTGAGTTGCAATGGTGAATTCGATTTTCCAGTCAACCTTGGTACCGGGTAGATCTTCAAGAAAGACATTCGGAAATTCTCGAATCACAGGGATTGCATCAATGGTGGGGACCTCTTTTTGTGTATCGATCACATAACAAATATAACTACAACAACCTTTTCTTAGAAGTCCTTTGGTTGTCATGGAGGATATAATACAAGGAGGGTTGGAAACTCCAGTCCTATCAAAGAGAAGCTCGGGTTAGTTTGGTAACCTGAAGGAGACCTTTTTGGCGTTACAATTAATAGAAGCGTGGTTGGCAGCCAGCTAATCCATCCCTAAGATCATATCAAAGTTCCCAATGCGGAAGGGAATTAAGTCTACATATAAGATTTTGCCTTTTAGGGATATAGCACAAGATTTGTAGACATAAGTACTAAGGGCGGAATTACCATAAGGAAAAGACATAGAAAAAATATATTCTAAGGGTTCGGGTGTTAATGTCAGCTTGGCAGCAAAATATGGTGCAACAAAAGAATGAGTTGACCCAGAGTCAATAAGGACATGAGTTAAATGACCATAGATAGAAAGTATACCTGACACAACGTTTTCGGTAACTTCTGGTTTTCCAGGTACTAAGGCAAAAGCCTTTCCTTGGTGTTTTTGGTCCTTCCTCTCTCCTCCTGGTCCTGCGGGTTTTCTGATTAGGCCAAAGGGGCTGGCTGTAGGATTGGTTAGCTTTGGACAATCCCTCAGCAAGTGGCCAACTTGATCGCATTTAAAGCATGCTCCCGTGTCTTGATGACATTGTCCCTAATGAGCCATTCCACAAGTAGGACAAGTTCGAATGGTGCCACTTTTGGGGTTAGTAGAACCTTGATTACCTGAGTTGGTTGTACTCGTATTCACCCTTTTGGGAGGTGCAACACCGGATCTTCTATTGTCTCTTTCCCAGAATCGCTTCTTTTGGCTTAGTTCCCCAAAACGCGAGGCTTTAATCCCCTTTTTTGCAATGTATGCCCGGTCTACCATTTCTGCATAAGTTGGCAATTTCAAAACCTCAAGCCTATCTTTGATTTCAACATCCAATCCTGCTTCAAACTTTTTACCTTTTCGAGCTTCGGTAGGGATGACATATGTCCCAAACCAAGCGAGTTGTGTGAACTTGCTCTTGTGTTTGGCCACCTTCATAGTTTCTTGCTGTAGATGTATGAATTCTAATGCCATTTGTTCCCGCAATGAATCTAGGAAGTATTTTGTGTAAAATACTGCCAAGAATCTTGCCCAAGTCACAATTTCTTCTATCTCCAGAGTGAGAAGCCCCCATTCCTGCGCATTATCTTTAAAAGTGAAAGTAGCGAAAGTCACCTTCTGTCTTTTGGTGCAGGATAGGGCACGAAAAATCTTTTTCATGTCTTTAACCCAAGCATCTGCTACCATTGGGTCTGGACCGCCAGTAAATGTGGTGGGTTTCAGATCCTGGAATTGTTTTATGGTAACCGGCTCTTCTCGCCGTTCCGGCATCCCATTGTTGATGTTGGTCTGCAAGGCTTGCAAAAAGTTAGTAACCGCTCTTTCCATGATTCTTTCCATCGATTCAGTGCCACTGACTGATGACTCACTTCCATTACCATTATTGGCCATTCTACGAAGTAATAAACGGGACATTACATCCATAACGTAACATATACATATATATAGTGCAATATATATAAAATACCAACTTTATTATTTTTACAATTAATATTACATGCTTGTTCTAAAGTCAAAATATGTTAGTGTCTCATCCCTGTGGTAAAATAAAATAAAATAAAAAAAATAGGATTAGAACAAATCATGGTTAGTGTACAAAAAAAGGTTTTCTTCTACTAAATCTAGAGTGGTGGGTCAAACAGGTCAAACAACCACGAGAAGTAGTATTGTATAAAAAACTCGAATTCCCATCCTAACTGTACCACACCAAAACACATCTACGCTGCTTGGACGGTGTACACAGGAATGGACTGTATGTAGCCCCAAAATGCTCGATTGACTATCCATCCCGGTTGCTCAATGTATGATAGGTCATTACTAAAATCAACATTTTGAATATTAATAATTTCCAAAGAGTTAGGGACAGTGGTAAAAATGTAGTCCTCGGGGTACACATTTCCCCTTCTTGCCACAAAATCTTGGGGCAAAGGGCCAATGATGTAGTGCTGGCGGTCATAGCCTGGGGCAAGGCTGAGGACATAGGTGGGTCCGAGAAATCGTCCGTGCGTATAGGCACGGCTTTGCCTGCACAGTAAGTATGGTACATCAGTAGGATCAATCTATATATTTATCGGCCGACCCATCTATTGGGCAAGACCTGGATGTAGTCTCCTAATTATATCCTCTGAGTCTCCCCATCCTTCAAGTGAGGCGGTATCTGGCAAAGCAGTCCATGTTTGGCACTACTTTTTCAAAAATCTGTTTCTCAAAACGATTTGCCGGATTTGGACTCTTTGGTTCAGATTAAGAACCGTGACACAAATTGAGTCCGAACTGTAGCATGAGGCCCCACGCGGGCGCTGTTACACCATCTATTGGGCAAGACCTGGATGTAGTCTCCTAATTATATCCTCCGAGTCTCCCCATCCTTCAAGTGAGGCGAGGGCGGGGTGCTCTGCTAAAATTTTCTCCAAATTAATGGCCCAAAGCTCCTCTCAAAATGTCTTATCAAGGTTAATCTCAAACATTCCTACATCACTAGAATAAACGTGAGATTTAAAAAAAAAAGGACTAATGTCATAGGTAAATATTCAAAAAATGACTAACGTCGCAGGTAAATATTTATCTCTTTAATATGTCTAACCGTTGCTCTGATACCACTTTTATCACATATCACCAAAGTGTTCCGAACTTTACTGGAAGTCGCTGGAATGTCGAGAACATTCATTGAACGTCAAGAACATCATCGAAGACTCACAGAATGTCCAAAATATTGTTGAAAAAATAAATAATACATACAGAAATTAGAGTGAAAAAATATAGTAAAATGTACTAAATATTGATAAACTGAAATGAGGGGAAAAAAACATAACAACAAAAAACAACAATAATGGAAAAAAACAAATGTAGGGTTTAAGAAAATAATCTCCAATATTAATCAAACTAAAAAATAAGTTTTGAAACTGTAAAATATTACAGTTTCAAAGTATGGTTCTATTAAGCATTTATTCTTATTAATCAAATTGAATTCTAAAGCATGTTACAAAAATGTAAAATTTTACAGGTTTAAACCATAATTGAAACTGTAAAATTTTACAATTTTCACCGCTTATAACTAAAACTAAAAAATAACTTGTTCAGAATCTAAAAATTTTCTTCTTTAAAACAAGAAAAAAGAACTATGTAATCTAAGAAGAGAAACAAATATAGAGAGGATTGTACTCCGACAACTATTTTTGGTTCAAATCTAACCAGATCTGATGTAAATCTACTTACATCTAATGTAAATCTAAGTAGATCTACATCAGATTTAAATAGATCTACTCATCTTCTTTGCTAGAAACTCATCTCTTTTACTATTGGTGAGGATAAAGCAATGAGTCAGTTTTCGGTGGTTGTCGGTGAATCTCAATCAATGGTGATCACTGGTCGTCGGTGACTATATATCAAAAAGAGAAAGAGAAGATAGATGTGGTCGTCGTTCGCCAAAAATCAAGAAGAGAAAGAGACAGAAAAACGAAAGCACAGAGCAAGAGAAAAGAAAAACATGCACAAGATTTTTGGATATAAACAAAAGGTTATGGGACTAAATAGAACACACCTTTTTCAAAAAGGAAATGTAGGTCATATGCCTTAAAAAAAAAATCAACAAAAAGAGAAAAAATTCACAGCACGAAGATTGACGGCTGCAACACCAATCATAGGTCCATGAAATCAGCATAAGAACAATTCTAACCATCTAATATCCATCTCTGGTTTATTTTTATTCCACTCTTTTCTACCAATAACAACATAGAAATGTCAACTAGTACTTAGTTCCATGCTGTTCACAAAAATGGCAGCTATAGAAACAGCGCACAATTTAGTCGAGACAACAATTTGGGAGATGAATAGAGTGTGGGACAAAGCCCAATCCTTGCAATTTACTAGCCTCTCTATCTTTCGCCTAATATGGTAAAAGACCAGGCAAATATGCAGGAGGCTAATCCAATGGTATATTTGGGAAAGAGGAAAAAAAATGGAAACAAATCATTGAGGGTGAGAAAGCTTTCCACAAAGGTACATCAGTGATAGTTATAGGAAAACACAATTTGGGTGGAAAGCCACCATAGCTTTCAATTTGTCCACTAACCGAGCAAGAATCTGAAGATGTCGCCGATTGTTATAATTCCTTCTACACGCTTGCTGCTAGCCTCCACAACAATAAGCCGTCTAACCCCTGTGAAGAAATAACGAAAAATGTAATGAATACTTGATTGAGATATATGAAATATTTCCTTTTGAGATGATCTTAAATGCCAAGTTATTAGCTAAAAACACTCATTTTGATAAACAAAGCCGACTTTAGCCACTAATTGGCTTATTTCCTGCCCAAAAGCCCAACGAACAAGTTAGCCCAGCCAATTTTGATGTTTTCCTATTTTGCCCTTATCCAATCTTCCTTATTCCATCATTGGAATTCAATATCCTGATCAAATTGGTCATTTTGTATTAAAAAAAATCCAAAATGCTAGCAAAGGTTACCTAATATACTTATGTTAAAAAATTATCAGAAAAGCCAAAAAGCTAGCAGTGTGCCAATCAAACTAGTTTTTTTAGCATTGGCTTTTCTGTGGGTTTATTTTAATCAATAAGCTAGTTTTTTAGCTAACTACCAAAGAAAGTGGCATAACTCGGAGTATGTTGCTAAATCTAGAAAGACCTACACAAGAAAACCATGTAATAGATATTTGATATTGCACTTATCATTTGGAGTCATCCATGGCTACAACAGTTGAACTACAAATAAAGGTAGCGTTTGATTTAGTTTTAGAATCACGATTTGAGAATGGAGTCATATTTTGAGTTTGTGAGTTGTTGAATCATGATTTAAAAAGAGAAAATTTGTTTAATTATGAGTTTTGAAAAGAGTTTTGAATTGATTTTTGAATTTTTGAAATGAGTTTTGAAATAAGAAGTTGTTTGGTTATAAGTTTTGAAAAGAGTTTTCAAAACTTAATTCAAAAACTTATAACTCGTAAAGAAGTACACAACTCAAAACTCTATTAAAAATTCTATTCAAAACTCATAACCAAACTCCTTTTGAAATTCAATTTAAAAAATTAATTATTGTATTTTTTATTTAAAAAATTCAAAAAATTCCGAAAATATTTTTTTTATTTAAACTATTAAAAAGTATACATTATATTTTGTTAAAACAATATTTAGCTAGTGCTTTAAAATTACTTTTGATTGCAAAAAAAAAGAAAGCACTGTTCCGATCAACCGGCCGGATATCCGAGTAGATGATCCGGTAGACTCAAAAATTTAAAAGCTGTCCGGGTAGACGACCGAGTAAACGAAATTTCAAAATTTAAAATTCAAAAACTCTACTTGCCAAACATGTTCTGAAAAGAAATTTCAAACGTAGGTATGGAATCAATTTTTGAAAATTATATCCAAACACAGCATTGAAATAAGAGGGTGGAATTATGATTCCACCCCTAAACCAAACATAGCCAAAGTTTTTCTAGGTCAATTTAACAAACATAACAGCTGTACGGGAAAGAAATAGACCTTCTCGTATAATCCTGTTGATCAAGTCTACGCTCCTCCGTACGACGTTGCTTTATCACCTGAAAACACAAACGTGAGCTAGCCGGCGGGTGTGTGCCGGAAACCTCTCCAATGCCTAAGTCAGTAAGCTTGACAAATAGACAAAAGCTCTGTGTATTCAGAAAACAAAGTTGTGTGTTACCTCTCCAAATGTGATGTTTGTGAGCTTTTATAGGTTTCGTATGGCACAATCCTAGTAGGACTTCTATTCCTCCATGTAGAGTCCTCCTAGGATTCATACTCTTGAAAGATAATGCTTATCCCTCAACACCCCCCTCACTGCTTAAACCAAGTGAGATGGTTTTATCATGGCCGAACTACCACAAGACCGAAATAACAGAGCCATGTTGGACTAACTAGCGAGACCGATCTAACGGTTACCTCGACTATTCCTCCTCTTTCTCCTACCTCAGTTTTATATACAAAAGCCGAGCTATCCATAGAAGAATTAAGCCGAGCTAACCATGATCAAGTCCTAAGGCGGGCTCAACATGTCTCGGTTCCAAACAGCTTGACCGAGCTAACCCCCCCAATAATGTAGACCGAACTAATCCCACTTCGGCGACAAACTTCTTAGTTCGGACCGGACCACCACTAGTCCGTGGCCCATCTTTTAATCCTCCTTATCATGGCCCGTAAAACGGCCCATCACCCTAGCACGGCCTAATTTATGTATAAATTACCCTCTCAATTGCCCCTTAATTCCATCTGTGTAGCATGATAAGGATTACCCGTCTATAAACCGGGCTAAAGTTTGAACCTCTTCAACCGGGCTTAAAAATTGTTTTAGCCTTTTCAGCCGAGCTAAAGCTCCTGAGTCATTCCAGTCGAGCCAGATATAAATCGTGCTATCATTT